ATGTGGTCTATTCCCTAACTTGTTCAATTTTTATTAAGTTTTAGTTGTTTTATTTTATAATACTCCTTAACTCCTATTTTAGTTCCCAATAAAACTTTCTTTTTTTAGTATGATGATATAATATATCAAATAAATAATATATTTAAAAAATATATATATTTTAACTTAAATTTTTCATATGTCAATTTAGGCTACATATTAACCCTTTTTTTCTTGGATGAAGCTACTAATTGAGAGGGTCAATAAGTCTCTAAATGTGGACGGATTAAACATATTATTTAATATGCTAATTTGGCGACCTTTATTTATAACTACTATAATTGTGACATTCGAAACAACTGCTATCCAAAATGAAATCTTGAGATTAATCAATTGATTTAAGAAAGTCAAAATTTTTCCTTATTCAAAACAATTCGATCGGTTCATAGATTAAATTATAATTTTCCATCGCAATTATTGTGTCAAATGTTTACTGATAAAGTTATTGATTTATTGAATGAATAGGTACGGTTTACCATTTATAACATCAAACAATATTCTAATAGCAACAGTAAATGGTGCTGGAGCTGCAATTGAATTGATATACGTGCTAATTTTTTTCTTATATGCACCCAATAAACAAAAGGGGAAGATATTAGCAATGTTGATATTAGTTATATTGGCGTTTGCTGCCGCAGCGGTTATTTCAGTGCTTGCTTTTCATGGAAAAAACAGGCAACTCTTTTGTGGTACGGCTGCTACCATATTCTCCATCGTTATGTATGCATCTCCTATGTCTATCATTGTAAGCTCTCTCAATACTCTTTTTATTTCAATTTATTTGTCTGCTTTTTATTTTACATGAAATTTAAGTATATAAAGAAAACTTTTGATCTTGAACTAAAATATGCAAAAAAGTATCAAAATGTTATTGAATCTTGTAATCTTATAAACATGCGTGAAAAGTTCTAAAATTTGCAAAAAAACAAAGGAGTTTTTTAACATACTAAAAAGAAAGTAGAATCGACAAATAAATTAAAACAATGAGAGTATAGTATATGTTATGCAGCGATTCCTTTTCTATGTCACTATTCAGATTGCGAATCCTAAATTTGTCTCTAACCGCAAGGTAGATTCAAAATTTAAACTAGGTGGATCCTGTATTTATTCTTTCATCATTTAATTCATTTTTTTTTTAATTATAGATTCAAAAATTATTACTTTCTCCATTTAAAAAAGAATGACCTACTTTGACTTGGAACGAAGTTTAAGAAAAGAAAGAAGACTTTTTAATCTTGTGGTTCTAAATTAAAGTTATATTAAATGTACAAAACTGTCCTTTAATTTTGTGGCCTTAAACATGTCACGTGGAAAGTTGAAGTTAAAGTGCTGCCAAAAAAGAAAAGGGGACATTCTTTTTGAAACACACTAAAAAGAAAATTGGGCCATTATTTTTTAAACAAAGAGAATAGTATTTATTAATATATACAATATTCATACTTTGTTTGACTTGAACTCACAATCTTAAGATTATAAATGAGGAATGCTTTAGCATCCGAACAACTCCCTCTCGTTGATTTCATCGAAGAGTACTTATGAAGGAAAGATTAATTTGTGCAGAGACTAGTAATAAAGACCAAGAGTGTGGAGTACATGCCATTCTTCCTGTCATTTGCTGTTGTCGTATCTTGCAGCTGCTGGTTTACCTATGCCATGCTAGGAATGGACCCATTTGTTGGCGTAAGTATTGCGCCTAGCATCTCTCCTATTTATCATATATATGTTAAAAATTGAATCAAATCTATAGTATGGTGTCAGAATGAGCTCAAATATAGATAATTTGTTTAATTTGTCAAAATCTTATAGGTTGGGTTTAAGGTAATTTGAATTGGGTTAATCTTAAATCATTTAAGCCTTAACTCATTTTACAAAAATCTTCAATTGAGTTTAATTTAAACTCGTTTTAAGTCTCTTTATTTGCGTTGGTGTAATGTATGTTCTCATATCAAAGATATGAATTACTATCTATTTAATTTCTTCTAAGATTTATCTATCAATTTGTAATTATATTTTTATTTTCTTGAGTTAAAATTCAAATTGTGGTTATAAAAGGTAAATAACAATATTTTAAAATTATTGAGATTAAATTGATCAAATTAAGCATGTCATGACCCGGCCAGATTTTTAATCCAACTCATTTGCGTCCAAAGTAAAATTGGACAAATCATGACCTAATCCTATTTCAACTCAACCCATCCATTTAACCACCTAACTATCAGCATTAATTAATATGTGGGACATTTGTGAATTACTTGTATTAATTAATAATTTTGTACTTTGCAGATTTCAACAGGTGTTGGCTTGGCTTTAGGAATAGTACAGTTGATCTTATATTTTATTTACTGTGACAAAAAAATATTAAATAAGAAGACAACTGCTACTGATGAGTCCCTACAGAATATGGGCAATGGCTATAGCAATAATGTTAAGTGTTACAATGATGAGAAGCAATCAAATTTTCATGAGCAAGTCTAGACAAGTTATGAAATCAAGTTTAATATGCAACTCAAAACTTGGTGATTTTTATGTAAAATCTGTTTCTTTAGATTTTATAAACATTTTGATGTACGTGAATAATATGATATTGTAAAAGCATAAAAGTATGTCAAGAATGATCAGATATCTAAATGAAATATGTATGATTATGCATTATCTTCACAATGTGTGGTTGCTTAGATTGAAGATTATTTAATGTTTATGATTCAAATATTTATATATATTCCATAATTTCTTAATACATTTCATGATCTGGACTGCACTTTTGATGAAGAAGCTTCGGATATTCATCAGTTTATTTTATCATATTCTCTAAAATTTCCTACTAGTTGAAAAAATTATAAAAATTTCTATTCTTGGATACATCGCGTAATCAGATACATTACTTTAAGCGATGTATCGGGACGTTAAGTGATGTATTCGAAATGGAGGCACGATTATCGGGATGTATCCGAAAGTGGGATGCGATTATCAGGATGTTTTAGAATGTATCCGGATTCCATCAAATTTAAGGGATTTTTGTAATTTGAAAATAGTAGGGATATAATAAGATGTTATTAGCTAGTAAAATTCCCTAATAAATAAAGCTAGTAATTTCTTATTTTTTAAGTAACAATTTTTTTTAGTCTAGTTATTAACTTTTCTTTAAAAAAATTTAGTCCCAAATTATAGCTAATATTATTATATTATATTTTGTATAAATTTTTAAAAAGGCTAAAAAATAAACAGACAAAAATGGAGGAGGAAGTCTAGGGGTGTGCAAACACCAATTTAACCAATAAACCGAACCGAAAAAAATACTATTGGTTTATTGATATTGGGTTATTGGGCTAACGGTTTTTAAACGGTTTTGCAAAAAAGATTATTGGGTTATTGGTTCGGTTTCCGGTTTTATAATTTTTGTTAATGGTTAAACCGATAACCCAATAAGACTATACTAAATTTACTAGTCTTATTGTTAATGGTTAAACGATTGTTACTTTCACACTTTTTCCTTTGAATGTGTCTAGTGTCTAAACTTGCAAGAAAAATGATTGTTACTTTTATGATTATTACTTTCATGCCAAATGCTGGAAAAATCATATGGTTTATTTGAAAATTTTCTTATCGTGTATATAATATATATGAGTATTTTCTTATTGGTTAAACCGAAAACCGAACCGTTAAGTACCATAAACCGATTAACCAAAAACCGATAAGAAATATGTTATTGGTTTGGTTATCGGTTTGACATATTTACAAACCGAAAACCGATAAACCGAACCAATAACACCTAAAACCGAACCGAACCGACCGATGCGCACTCTAGGAGGAACAGTCCTAATCTAAAACTAATTCCCCCCTAATCCTGCGATCTGTTTTTTCCCTATAAAAATTTTCAAACCAAAAACTTTTAGGTTTCCCTTATGAATCTTCAACCAAATCACAACTTATACAGCAAAAAAAAGAAGAGGAAATATATTATTATAAATACACACGTATAACAGAAAAAAGTACTAGTGTTATATTATTTTACACGATCGAGGAACTTTCATCACGTTGACGTAATTCGATTTGTGCAACAGATATCTGATTTTAGAGGCTTTGTTTTAAAAAATCTTGGCTCAATAAAGGTTCATTTTTTTCCCTGTTTTATTTTTCTGATTTTTATTATATATAGTTCGTCTCTATTTTTTTGTGAATGATTTAAACACCAAATTATAGATTATTAGAATTTGAAAATTTGAATATTTGAACAAATTTTCATGTTTTATCCTTGACTCTAATTCTTCATATTTATTTTTTTAATTTGTAACTATCCGACTTTTTTATGCTTAAGTGAGTTTTTCTTCTTCTACTTTTCCCTTTTTTTTTTGTTTTTTTTTTAATTGTATGCTTCAGTGAGTTTTGCATGCTTAAATGATTTATTTATTAAGGATGAACAGAATTATCATTATTAAGTTTAATTAGTTTCACGTATCAGTTGAATATAAAAATGTTGTTTTCGATTAATCAAGTGTTTGGATTGTCTTTTTTCAAGGTGCTTATAAACTAAAAGACATAAGTTGGTCATATCTAACTTTTGACTGTTAACTTATTTTATATTGTATTTTTATACAAGGATCAATCAGTTAATTTATATTGTGAGATTAGGAATTTTTGACCAAATTAAGCCATTATTTAAACCAATTCACCAAAATAATACGTTTTTAATTTGTTTTACAAAACTAGTATAAACGTATTTCTGAGTAACATTTTAGGGTATTTTTATTTTAAAAATTCAACGGACAAAAACTGACGGAGCTGACGACGTTAAATGAATAAACGTACTCTTGAGTAACGTTTTACACCTAAAACGTTATTCACGAGTACGTTTATTGAGAAGCAAATCACGGGCCACTAAATCCAATCCTGCAAATGGAGTGACCAGTTGTGTCAGTTGCCATCTTACCTCTCTTTATTGTAGAATATTTATCGTAACATGCATGGAGGAGCAGTTGGAGTTGTCGCAGAGAGTTATCATAAATGTAAACGGAGACTTTTGTAAAACAACAAGTTTTATTACTCATCGGAGAATTCACTGTGAATATTGATTTCATGTAACTATATTTATGGTATGAGATGAGTTTTATGTTGAGATTTATGGTATGAGATTTCATGAATGTGTATGAGATGAGATTTCTTGATTTGTAGGGATTGCGTTTTCAGAATCAGGAGAAAGGACATCAAGACCAATTGGCCATTTGCATTTGCAGGATTGGATTCAGTGGCCCGAGATTGAATTCTCAATAAACGTACTCGTTAGTAACGTTTTAGGTGTAAAACGTTACTCAGGAGTACGTTTATTCATTTAACGTCGTTAGTTCCGTCAGTTTTTGTCCGTTGAATTTTTAAAATAAAAATACCCTAAATTGTTACTCAGAAATAGGTTTATACTAGTTTTGTAAAAATAATTAAAAACGTATTATTTTGATGAATTGGTTTAAATAATGGCTTAGTTTGGTCAAAAATTCGTGAGATTAGTTGCGGATTAATGCAACAATCGTTATATCTAGAAACTAAAAAACCACCAGAGTAACACTACCACCTGCATACCTCCTTTCACCAATCACGCCACCATCAACTGGTGGCGTAACCATATATAGCTCAGGGTGGTCAGTTGGACACTATTCGTCGAAAAATTATATATATGAAATTTCTAACTTTGGCAAGGCCATCAACTTCTCTATCACCACGTACCTGTTCTTCCAAGAACATCATGCCAACATCAAATCACCATTCTTCCTCATTCTCTGTTTTAAACTCAATCATTTGCATTTACCATTCCCTTGTACAGCATGAGCTTTCCTTCTTTACTTAGGTTATTTGCTTTTGACGTAATATATAAATATGTCATTTAATTTGGTCTTATGCCTTCTAATTTTAGATGTGCACGAATAAACATTTAAACTTGTATACACACGCGTCCGACGTGGCATAATACATGTAGCAGACCACGTTAGATGTCTTGTAGGATATGAACTGCCACCTAAGATGTCAAGTAGGACGCGTATATCTATTTGATCAACTCTATACAAATTTTTAAGTGTTTACTTATACAGAACCAGAATTGGAGGATATAAATATTATATGACAAAGTTAAAGAACACGTTTATATATTATGCCTTTATTTTTTTAGTCATGTATGATCATGATGACATCTTTATAATAAGCCATGCAATCTTCCTCTATAGTTATGAATAATTATTGGTGAGTTTACCCTTTTTAAGTACTCCATATTCTTGGTTTAATTGCTCCTATTTATTTTGATTAAAATATTACTATTAGAATATGTGACCTCTTAGAATATTACTATTACTCATCTCCTATTGAACAAGTTTTCGAACTGAAAAACTAACTTGCTCATAGCTTGTAGAAAACACAACAATATGAGCGGTCTTGTACACACAATACAGTTTGTTTTTGGGATTCTTGGTTAGTTTATTTCACTTTAATTAATTCATTTCCATATTTTATTTGCTTTGTATATTTTTCTCTTTAATTAATTAATTTTTGGTTGAGTTTTTCTTCTCTTTTTTTCTGCTAATTAACAGGAAATGTTGCTTCTCTCTTTCTCTTTTTAGTACCCACGTAAGTATAATTCTTAACAACACGATCACTATTTCTATTATAATTTATACACATTAATAATATAAATATATTTTGTTTGATTGAATTTAGGTATACATTCAAGAGGATCATCAAGAACAAATCGACAGAACAATTCTCTGGCATACCTTATGTTATGGCATTTTTGAACTGCTTGCTTACTGCATGGTAACTATCTATACCCATGTAGCAAATTTCAAATTTTGATACAGAGCTAATAAATAGGTGGATCAATCTTTCAAATTGAAATGCATTAATTTTCATAAATGGATCATATCTTCATGTGCTAATTTTGTCACTTTAGGATTTTCCTTTGTAATTATTTTTTTCTTATAAAGTTATTGATTTAATGAATGAATGAATGAGCAGGTATGGTCTGCCATTTATAACATCAAGCAATATTCTGGTTACAACAATCAACGGGACTGGAGCTACAATTGAGTTGATATATGTGCTTATCTTTTTATTATATGCACCCAATAAGCAAAAGAGAAAAATCTTAGCAATATTTGTATTAGTCCTTGTTGCTTTTGCTGCAGCTGCGGTTATCTCAGTGCTTGTTTTTCATGGAAAAAATAGAGAGCTCTTTTGTGGTATTGCTTCCACAGTTTTTTCCATCGTTATGTATGCAGCTCCTCTGTCTATTATCGTAAGCACTCTCAAATACTCCTTCTTATAATCATTCCTTTACAACGTTTGACAAATATTTTCAATTGAATATATTTTTATTCAGAGACTAGTGATCACGACCAAAAGCGTGGAGTACATGCCATTTCTCTTATCATTTGCCGCTATCTTATCTTGCACTAGCTGGTTTATCTATGCCATACTAGGAATGGACCCATATATTGGCGTAAGTACTTCACCTAACATCTCTCCTACTGTTGAGAATATAATTAAATAAGTAATAAAAGTATATATGTTTTTAGATGAGTCAGAGCAGACAAAAGTCCTGAGATTGAAACTCACTGTCACTCATATCAAAAAGAATTTTCACATGTTGTATGAATTACTAGTAGTATTAATTAGTGAATTTTGTTGTTATGCAGATTTCAACAGGTGTTGGCTTGACTTTAGGAATAGTGCAATTGATTTTATATTTCTGTTATTGTGACAAGAAAATTTTAAACAAGAAGACATTTGCTGTTGAAGAGTCGCAGCAGAATATGGACAACGGTCATAACAATGACGTTAAGTTGTATTTACCATGATGAGAAGCAATCCTATTTTTAATGGTCAATACATGAATGTCCATATGTGCAAGTCTAGACAAGTTAAAACGGAGGACCAAGTTCATGGCAGCTCAAAACTTGATGATTTTTGTTGAGAAACAGTTTCTTTAGATCTATTCTATTGGCATTTTGATGTGCGCAGATAGTATTGTAAGAGCATCAAAAGCATAATCTTCTGCTTTACATATTCAGGTAAAATTTTAAAAAGTTGAAAAAAAAATATGTAGTTTTTTTAATTTGTTGTTGTAAATTGATCAAGGAAATTACTATGCATTTATTCATTGATATGATTTAAGTACTTTCATATATCTAACTTGTTAAAAATTTACCTTTCTATATGAAAATTTAAAATAAAAATAAAAGATCCACGTGACCCCAATCACATGTAAAGATTGAAATATTTCAGGTTAAGAATGCTCGCTAGATATATAATTCAATACTTTAAAGATGATCATCTGAATTTGTGCTTGAAGAAGTCCAGTTTTTTGTTCTTGTTGACTTTTGCTAGCTAAATTTAACTTGAAGCTATATATTTAGCTATCTCAAGACGTAATAAACATCAAATCCCACTACGTTTCTATGGGACAAAAAAATGATGTCTTTTAAATCTGAATTTGACCACTATAGTATGCGGGAAAAAAAATGAAAAAAAGTAAATCAAAACATCTAATTTTAGTAAAGGGACAAATATGTAAAAACAAAAAAATAGTTAAACGCCCACCGTGGGGCTCGAACCCACGACCACAAGGTTAAGAGCCTTGCGCTCTACCAACTGAGCTAGACGGGCTACTTGTGATGATCTACCATACATTTATATTAAATAAAAACTAGCTGGGAAAAAACACATTGCACACTAATTAAAATAAAATTAATTAGAGAATTGATAGGAAATTAAATAGATAGAAATAGTTGCATACTATGTTAAGTCGTCTCTACATGCATAATATATTTATTTTAAACTAACTTGAGAGGAGTACTTGACAATTTGTAATGTAAAAATAGAAGATAATAGCTAGAGAAGAGTTTTTGACAATTTGAGAACTATTATTCTTGAGCCTTTTGGATCTCTACTTCATTAGGCATCTCTAGTTTTTTGCCTTCTTCCACACCATTTTCAATGTTAACGTGTTTGCAGGCTTCATTTGGTCCTCCACCAACACAACTCTCAATGGAATAGAAGCCAATTTCCCTTGTCCAAGTTTTTAATGTCTCCACAGCTGCTTCATCTGTTTTGTATCAAATTGTAACATTAATTATACTCACTTTTTTAAAAAAACAGATAGAAAGATATTTTAATCCTATTAATTTTTAGTTTTTTTTTTACTCCTTCCTACGAGTTTTCACCTTTTTTACTTTTTTGGTGACTGAAATTCCTAACCTCGGAATTGGAGGTAGATGGTGTGTACCATCTAAGCAATCTACTCTTGTCAATTTTTAGTTCCTTGCTAGTAATCAAATGAATTGTGTGACTCTTAATTAACACCTTAGTTCATGTCTAAGGCTAGACATCTAGAGCGTGAGCACATAAATGTTGAGATAGAATTAACCAAAAAATTTACTCAAGAGAAAAGATTGCCCAAAAATCATATAAAAAGATCTCCCATCCCCTTTTCGTTCGATGGAACTATTCAACTATTTTCTTTAGTTTTCTCAATGTCCAAATACTTCATATCAACTTCTAAAAGTTTCAACAAATAAAAGACAAGATAAATTTGTAATTTCACTTGCCTAGTCTTGGCACAGTGTGGCCTTGAGGATGCCTTATGATGAGAGGATTTTCAAAAGCTGTTGTAAGCTCTTGTGAAGGAAGTTTGAGCCAATCTTTCTCTCCAATAAAATGGACTGATTTAACCTTCATCATATCTTTGTATGCAATGTTACAAATATTTGGGTCCCTAAATTTGGCCCCTGATATTGATACAAATAATTTCATTGGTGGATGCTCTTTCAGAATCTTCCCCTGTATAAATAAAAATATATAAATTTCCCAAAATTATATTGGAAATTATGAAGTAATTTTGGCTAAGAGTTGAGGTGATTGCAAAATTACCTGTTCCATGTACCCTAGTAAAAGGCCTGATAAAGTCGCTCCCTGCACCAAGGGATCGAGAAAATAAAATAAAATTTCACCTAATTTGATATTTGTGAGTATAATTTTAAAATTACGATATTCAGGTTTGGATCTGATTTGAGAAATTAGTACAATTTGTTATTTAGTATTTTTAGAATATCGAATTATTTACTTAATGAAGATCATATATCAATAGGTTCATTATTCATTAGTACAAGTTCAAAGAGTAAGTTAAAGATTAAACATAAACATCTGAAAATACATATGTATTTTCGTTGTGTCAATTTGTTTTTCTTGAAGTCTTCTTACTTGTTGATCTTTTATTACTCCATATCTCCACATCAAAAATAAAAATATTGTAGCAGTAGTACTAACTTTGTAATACAATTGGCTATAATTTCAATGTGGTATTACTAAAAATCGTACCAAATCAAAGTTTGATTTATCGATTGTTGAATTACTAAACCAAAATTTAAAAATTTTGTATTCCACTTCTATTTTAAACTATCAATTATCAAATTACCGATCCCAAAATTTAAAAATCCCAAATCAAATACCAAACATCCACTTTTTTATTAGACGTAAAAATTAAGATCTCCTGTAAAAAGTAACCAAACCTGGGAGAATCCGAGAAGACCATCGAAAGGCCCTTTGCTTGTAATATACTCACACAAGTACGAAATGCATTCTTCTAAGTTCTCATATTCTGTAAAATCCTGAGAGCAGGTAAATCATTGTTAGTAAAAACTACTCCAATGTGTTGTGGTGCAGTGTTGTGACTGCTCCATTCAAAGGAGGAGCTAGGTGGAAGTTTGTGGATTTGGACGAACCTAGTAGCTTTTGTTTAGATCCTGTATTTGTACTAAAAAATTAAATAAATATATGTATATTAACTTGTGAATCACCAACAAGGGTTGTGGTGGAGTGGTAATTAAGTACTTCTTCATCCTTAACCAAGAGGTTTCGAGTTCGAGCTCCCTTGGGTACGGAGTCGCCTTTGTTAGGGAGCGCTTTACCTCTCAATGTGGGACATCCCTGCGCGAATCCGGATTTAGTCGGGGTCCGGGTACCGGACATCGGGTGGAAAACCAAAAAAAAAAAAAACTTGTGAATCTGGTTCAGTGGTAAAAAAGTGACTGTCATATGGCTGCACCCTTAACCATAGGTCTCGGGTTCGAGACTGGATATGGAGAAAATTTGTTGGGAGCGCTACTCCCGAATTTAGTCAGGGGTCCAATACGAACTCCGAACATCAGGTGGGAAACCAAATAGGCAAGAATGAATTAACAAAAAGATTTCAAAATTACTTTTACAAGACAGTGGAATTAGATATGGAATTTCTCGGCAATTCTTTGCTAATTCGTTGCTAAAACGCTATTAGTTTATCGAATCTTCATATAATATTGCTGTTAATTCATAGCTAATTGAAATTAGCATGAAATTTTTGTTGTTTAACTACGCGTTAAGGCACGTATTTACCTCATTATACTGGAACCACTCAAAATATGGTGGTGGAAATATGCCCTCAATATCTGATTTCCCCCCTGCTGCAAATATTCCATCTGGGAATTCCTGCCAATATATATTCATTTATAATTTCAAAAATTAACTTTGATATGTTACATAATCAACAAAGAAAATATAATTAATTAAATATAAAAATGTAACATCATACCATTTCAAAATGAGCAAAAATAGAAGGATCCCATTTGCTTAATTGTTTTTTTAAGAAATTTCCACTAGTTCTAAATCCATGCAAACAAAGAATCTTCATCTTTTTTTCTCCTATTATCTCTTCCATCCTCTCACAAATGTGGTGAAATAAGTTGAAATATGAAGAGTACTGTATATATATCTAAATACTCAAGAATCCAACTACTCACTTTAACATAATTAAAGTTGATGTATCGGATTTATTTGAACTCAATATTTTTAACATATAGTTTATAAATATATATAAAAATTACTAGAAGTTGCAATAAATATGAATAAATGACCTTTTAAAATATTATTAATTAATACTAATACATTAATAAAAATTATATAATTTAAATTTTGAATCTAGCTCTCGATCTAGTAAACCAAAAATGTAAAGGGGGATCTATTTACTATTGGGAGAGTTAGGTAATAAGATTGGCTGGCAGGTGAACACGTGACTCTCAACAGCCACTGGGCCTTTGCAACTATTAGGTATTTATTTTTTTTAACATTAGGAGAAAAAATATAATGCAACTTTTGAAGTTATCCCGAATTTTTATAAAGTCATTTTAATTATACATACATTTTATTATCCTCCTAAATAATTTTAAATTGATATTACTATATATTTTTTTGATTCATCCTAAAGTTTAAAAGTAATTATTATCACGTACCAATTATTAAATGTGTTAATTTAATTTAAAATATATTTTTTCATTTTAAGGTTTTCTTTATTTTTTTTCTTTCTATTACTTTTTGACTTGTTTTTTTTTAACTTTAATTTTAAATGAATGGGAAAATGATAAAAATTGCTCTTAAAACTATGTGAAATGAACAAAAATGTCATCCGTTATGATTTGGTAAAAAAATACTCCTATTGTTATTTAATGGGTCAAAAATGCTCATTTTCTAAATAAATATATTATTTATTTTCTTTTTAACACCTTCTTTTTCTAATAATATTTTTTTAAATCACCAAATGTTTATCCTACTTCAATTCAGAAAAAATAAATAAATAAAAATATTTCTTATATTATTATAATTATTTTTAGCGTTATATAAATAAAAATTAATGATGGATATACTATGATCTTATATATATGATATATATTATTCGCCGGAAAGGTATATGGAGTTATTCTATTTTAATTGATAAAATGAGATTAAGAAGAAAAAAAAATTATTTCCTACATTTTTATTTGTTTAAGTG